GTTTACTCTGAATGGAGCAACGGTTAGTTGGAAAAGTTCCAAACAAGAAACAATTGATGATTCCACAACAGAGGCTGAGTATATTGCTGCATCTGATGCTGCAAAGGAAGCTGCTTGGATAAGGAACTTCATCCAAGGGTTGGGTGTAGTACCATTTGTTGTTGATCCAATAATGATTTATTGTGATAACAATGGGGCTATTGCGCAAGCAAAGGAGCCAAGATCTCATCAAAGATCCAAGCACATAATGAGGCGATTACATTTGATTAGAGAAATCATTGGTAGAGGCGACGTCGTGATGGAGCGAGTCGACTCAGCAGAATATTGCAGACCCCTTAACTAAGCCCTTATCACAGAAAGTGTTCGAAGGACATCTTGAGAAGATGGGTCTTAAATACATGAGTGATTGGAACTAGGGCAAGTGGGAGATTGTTAGAGTAGGATACCTGGCGTTCCAATTGGATTGGACGTATTCTACTTGTAAATACTATCTATTGGAATTATATTATAAACAAGGCATTACTTTATCTTAAGAGTAAGTTTTTATCCTATAATCGCACTTAAGATAAAATCATTAATTCACTTATGGTTATAAGGTATGGTTGCGCATAGAGATGGTGATCATGGAACATACCTTGAAAGCTGTGATTTTAAATAAAGTTCCAAGTCGAAGGATGTTTCGAAATGGGATATCGAATAATCCATAAAAGACTTGCACATATTATGTATGCTTGTTGGACAAGAATGTTGCATTCCATCAACATTAGGGTGCGACGCAAATACATATATGTGGGTGCTTGTTAGAGAACAAGTACACTGAACATGACCATATGAAAATACTTAATGAAAGATTTGTCTTGTCGAATAAGTATTTTCATGTTACAATAGTACATGACTAATCCTAAGACTTGATGCACAATGGTAACTTTGTGCATATTACATTCTACTTTGATTTATCCTTTTGGTTGCTAGCACAATCGTATAAAGGGATATTTTGGGTATTATGTTAATATGTATGGAAGTTTGTTAGTGGCCTACAAAGGATTCGACACTTATGAAGATAAGTGAATTTCCTATGTGTTTCATAGTTAGTAATTCAAAGTCCTTGGCCAAGGCGGGATGAATAGAGATTCATACACGGATTACTGAATATGAAATAGAATCAAAGTTATTAAATCAATTTGGGTTTCGACTAAAATCATACCCAAGATTTAATCAGGAAATTGGATGTCGAAAGGATTCTACATGTATGTACTTGTAATCGAAATAGGTTTACTCGCTATTCACTTAATACTAGATTCATGCTACTTGCTAGGTGTTCCCATGATATGTGGGTTCTTGAATTAAAGGGGTTAATTCAAGAATAAGACTTAATAAGATTAACTCAAATTACAAAGAGTTGTAAACCCACTACTAGTATTAATTGTGAACCTAAAAGGTCACACCAATGTTTGTAAAGACAAATATTAGTATTTCTAAAGAGTTAGAATGAATTGACAAAATCTAATTTTGATTAGATGTCAATTAAAGAAATATATTAAATTAATCAATTGGATTGATTAATATTAATTTAGTGACTAATGTAATTACTAAATTAATAGTTGGATTTTAAAATTGGATTTTAAAATTCAAATCCATATAATAATATGATTATTATATGAAAGGAGAATATTAAATATAATATATATGTTTACAAATGATTTTAAAAGAGTTTAAAATTATTTGTTTATTATTATTATTGATTTTTAATGTTGATTAAAAATTAAATAATAATGATAATAATATAATAATCACAAGATGGAGTCTTGCAATTATTATATTGTTGTATTAACTTGTAGAAATGAGAAAAAGATTTTTTAATTTTGCTTGTCAAAATTATTAAAGACTTTTGTAACATTTCTTGTAAAAGTTATACAAGTCATATATATTTTATTGCTAAAAAGTTTAGTATAAATATGGGCATGGTTGATGTTCATTTTGGCAAGAATTTGTGTTAACATTTTCACTTATAATTTGAGAGATAAAGAGTTAGTATTTCATTTTTGTAAACAAGAATTGTTCTTGTAATATTCTCCTATTTATATATTTCTATACTAAGTTATAAATCGAGTGAGTTCCTACTAGCGAAGGAGTCATCTCGTAGTCGGAAGCAAACGGTGGATACGTTTAGAGGGAAGACAAGTGGATTCCTAAAAGCGAGCAAACCGAAGTGTTCGTTATTAATACGGGAACTAATTTCCTCAACCACCATCAAGAAGAAGGAGTTAGAGTTATAAGGAAATATTTGATATTACTTGTAATTTCTAATATTACTTGTAACAAATCCAAATTTGTATTATTACATATTTTTAAAGATGACGATTTGTTAATTCGCCATATGTATATACGGGTTAAGTATTTAAGTGATAAATACTTGTTTTGAAAATTTTTAAATTCCGCTGCGTATAGTCTGTATGGTACATGCGAACCCAACAATTACTTGGTGTATGCTCAGAAATTATTAATCATGACTTAGTTAAGATGCTCGAATCAGAATCTGACCTTAGAATTCAGTGTACTCAGATATAACTCTAGACGTCATCAGAATTTATATCAGTAATTTTCGGCCATTTTTGGCAACTCGTCAAGAGATTTGTGTACTTTAGAAATCAGCCAGAATATTTTTCATGTGTTCAGTAATGTTGAACTTTTTCAATGATCAGATGTCGCCCCGTAGGGAACCCGATCACCCGGTTCTTCCTCAGGCCACGGTGGTTGCACAGTTTCGCGACTATCATGCTGAGAAATTCTCCGGGCAGGGAGACCCCCGTATCGTGGACGAGTCGATTCAGGGCCTTGAGTTGATCTTCGAGGTCATGGATTGTCCAGACAGATACCGCGTTATCTGCGCTCAGCTTCAGCTAACCGGCGATGCCCGGCTCTGGTGGAATGCCTACTGGAGCATGCATCCCGGCGAGAAGGAGGGATGTACATGGGATAGGCTCAAGGAGCTAATTCGCGAGAAGTACTACCCCACCTATTACAGAGCAGAGATGGAGCGGCAGTTCCTGTCGCTCAAACAGGGTACTCGATCTGTTGACAAGTACGAGAGAGAGTTTACCAGACTTGCAGCTTTTGTTCCGGACTTGGTTCGTACGGAGGCACAGAGGGCACAGCGCTTCATTGACGAGCTTTACCCAGCAGTCCGTCACAACATTGTAGGACACGGGACCCAGACCTATGCATTCGAAAGGAGGCGAACTATGATCGGGTGCAGCCAGTTGCCCCTGCCCAGTCTTCTACAGCTCCACTTATGCCACCAGCCACTGCCCAGCCACCGAAGAACAACAAGAGGAAGGGGAAAGGTGCCCCGATGGACAAGAGGACCCGGCGGAGGCTACAACAGATTCCACCGTGCCCCACATGCGGACGTCTTCACCGAGGCGAGTGTCGCTTCGGCCAGGATATATGCTATTACTGTAATGAGCCCGGACACTTTGCTAACCGTTGTCCGAAGAAGGCACAGCAGCCTCAGCAGCCACTGCAGTAGCAGCAGCCCCGTCAGCAGGCTCAGAGGCCGCCTCAGCAGCAGCAGCAGAAGGGCAGACATCAGGCCCGAGTCTACGCAGTCGATCAGGTTGAGGCCGAGTCCAGGTACTATGTCAGGGATGATTATGCTTAATAATATTCCTGTGTTCGCTTTATTTGATACTGGAGCGACGCACTCTTTTATTTCACGTCGATGCCTTGATGCTATCGGAGTTCATGCCATTACCGCTGTCGATCCTCTCGAGGTGAGTCTAGCCTCGGGACGAAAGATAGTGACCTCAGCTAGAGCTTCAGATCTCAGCCTTTCCATCGGTGGTCGTGCATTGTCTAATGCGTATGTTCTTGAGATAAGGAACTTCGACCTCATTCTCGGGATGGATTGGCTATCCTTTTATAATGCAGATATCCGATGTCATGATCGGGAGATTACTCTCTATCTTCCGGGAGACGATTCGATTACTTTCTTTGGCACCCGGAATCGTTCATTGCCTCATGTTGTTTCTGTTGGAACCCACGAGGATCTCGATATGCACAAATCACAGACAAACATTCGAC